TGCATTTTTAGATACATTGGGTTAAATAAAATATACTAAAAATAGTTTCACCTGTTTTTACTTCTTTCTTTCTTTCTTTTGTATAGCAAGGGTGGAATTTATTGAAGAGCAAGTACAGATTCCCACCCGGGGAAGGGGAAAGAATCTCACAGTACAGACTGCCATGTAAGGAGGGGAAAGAAACCCGTGTTTTTACTTTTTTAACATGGCTACTACAAACTTTAAAAATATGTATGGCCCGCCTAGCCAGTTTGGCTCAATGGATAGGATAGAGCATCAGCCATCAGATTGAAGGGTCCCGGGTTCAGTTCCAGTCAGGGCATGTACCTCAGTTGCAGGCTCCAGCCCTGCGTGTCCCCCTCCTTTCCACTCAAAAAAAAAAAAAAAAATCAATGGAATAATATCCTCAGATGAGGATTCAAACAATAAAATCAAATAAAGCCAAAACTGGTTTGGCTCAGTGGTAGAGCCGCCGACTGAAAGGTCCCGGGTTCGATTCTGGTCAAGGGGATGTACCTTGGTTGCGGGCGCATCCCCGTTAGGGGGTGTGCAAGAGGCAGCTGGTCGATGTTACTCTCTCATTGACGTTTCTAGCTCTCTATCTCTCTCTCTCTTCCTGTCTGTAAAAAATCAATAAAATATATATTTTTTAAAAATTGAATAAATACATATATGGCTCACAATTCTGCTGCACAGTGCTGCTCTGGAAGAAGGTAACTCCTGAGGTGAACGAGGCTGATATCCTGAAAACACCTTTTTTTCACACCTGGATACTCAGAAGAGCTAGTAGTTCGAAGACCACATAGCACTCACCTCCTGCGTCCTTGGACTTGGCCCACCTTGAGGACCCCAGAGGGAGGTAACTGCAGGTTGACGTGATGCGTGAGTGCTTCAGAGGGGGCCCTGCCATGGGCCTGGTGAAAAGGAGAAATTTAGGAATCCCAGAGTTCCTCCAGCCAGCTAGCAGTCACTTCATTTCTCAGTCTTGTTTATGCAATTGTCTGAAGCAGAAATTATCACTGTGCTTATCAACTTCCCTAACTATCTGCACAGCCCCACTAAACTAATCTCCACAGCCTGGTTCTACCGGTCCTCCCTGCCCAGACACCTGGACCTGCTGGCAGCCTGCTTTCCTGGAGGGTCCCGTGCTACCAGTCTCCCAGCCCTCAGATGTGCCCCTCACTTTCCCTGTCTGTCTTACTTATCCCTTTACTGCTGGAGTCTCCTTCTTTGTCTCATAGTCCCCACCCTACCAATTCTGCCACAGTTCAAAGCCCACATCCAGGCTAACCGCCTTCAGAGGCCGGTCAGGTCTCTGTCTACAGGACTCACTAGTATAGGACATTCTGCCTTTGGTCAAGCCAGCGTACCTGCCGTGGAGGGCTGTGTCGTCTGATTCCTGAGGTATTCAGATTTCTGCATTTGTTCCTTTATTTTCCAACTGGGCTTTAAGTTAGTTGAGGACAGAGCTCAGCTTAGGTTATGTTTATATTCAGCTTTTGACCTGGGCCAATAACACACTGGCCCTCAAAAAAACATAACAAAATGAAATGGTGGTTAAAAACTCATAGACTTTTCTTATTGCATAAATAAGTTATCCATGATCATTTTTATAATAAAAATTATTCTTTTTAAAAAAACAAGCTGGTAGCTAAATTCTGGCCAGGATGTGGGACATTGGTACAATGGGTCTGTACAGTTCTTTGCCATTTTTATAACCTATGTAGATCTAATCACCACTACAATGGAAATGCAGAACTATTACAACACCTTAAAGATCTCCCTCCTCTACCTTTTCATAACACACCCCACAACCCGGCCCCCCTCCACCATCCCTAACTCCTGACAATCACTAGTCTATTCTCCATTCTATAATTTTAGTAATGTCACGTAGAATTTCATTTTGATTTACCTATAAGGTTTGGCGAGTGTAGCTACAGGTATTTAGTAGGTGCTCCAGGTATAACATTGTATATAACTTATCTAGTTCTGCTTGTCTCAACATTACCAGTGTTAGTATAGAAATATTTCTTCCTTTTAAGTCCCTTCACTCTCTCATATTTATGACTATCTTTTAAAAAAAATTTTGTTATGAATATCTTAAATATTATTACCTACATAAAATGTCTGAGGGTGTAGGACAGGGGACACTGAACGTGGACCTCCTGGGCTTTGATCTTTAGAGGAAAGAAGAAATCGTGGGGACTGCAGAGTTCCTCCTCTCAGGCGGCAGTCACTTCATTTCTCGGTTTCCTTTGCGCAATTGCTGGAAGCAGAAACTACTGTGCTTATCCACTTCCCTAATCTGTCCTGCACACAACCACGAATCCTTTGCTTACATCAACAGACATAATTTAGAAAACTCAAGAGAAGTAAAGCGTATTGTATTAACTTATTTTTTACTCTTGTTCTTCTTTCTTGATGTTCCAAGATTCTTTTAAAAATCATTTATATTTTGTTTCAAAAATTTTCTTTAAATATTTTTTTAGGGTAGGTCTACTGTTGATAAAGTCTCAGTAGTTTTTCTAATTCCGATAATGTCTTGATTTTTTAAAAATATATATTTTATTGATTTTCCACAGAGAGAAAGGGAGAGGAATAGAAAGCTAGAAATCTTGATGAGAGAGAAACATCAACCAGCTGCCTCCTGCACACCCTCTACTGGGGATGTGCCAGCAACAAATGCACATGCCCCTGACCGGAATGGAACCCAGGACCTTTTAGTCCGCAGACCGACGCTCTATCCACCGAGCCAGACAGGTTTCGGCATGGATTTTTTTTAAAATTTTATTTTTCTGAGAGAGAGAGAGACCTCGATTTGTTCTTCCACTTATTTATGCATTCATTGGTTGATACTTGAATGTGCCCTGACCAGTGATGGAACCCATAACCTTGGTATACTGGTATGATGCTCTAACCAACTGAGCTACCTAGCCAGGGCTGTCTTGATTTCTTCTTCCTGATTTTCACTGGATATAGGATTTTGAGTTGACAATTTTTTCTTTTAGTGCTTTAAAAATGCTGTGCCACTTCCTACTGATGAGATATTTGATATAATTTAATGTTTTTTTCATGCTAGGGAAGGTTGTTTTCACTTTTCAGAGATTTGACTATGATGTATCTTGGCATGGATCTCTTTGGGTTACCCTAGTTTGGATTTGATCAAATGCTTGAGTCTGTGGGTTTATATCTGCCATATTTGGAATATTTTCAGCCTTATTTATCTGAATACTTTTTAAGCTCCACCTTCTCTTTTTTTAGAACTCCAGTAACACACATATTAGATCTTTTCTTAGTTCTCCGTATTCCTGAGGTTCTATTTTTCCCCCAGCCTATTCTCTCTCTGTAGCTTAGTTTGGGTGATTTATATTATCAATATTCAGTCTTCAAGTCTATTCTTTCCTCTGTCCTTTCTATGCAGTGAGCTTTGTATTTCAGGTGGTTTTTGTTTTCAGTTCTAAAATTTGAATTTAGTCCTTCATCTCTTGTATTCCTCTGCTAAGACTATTTTTTCCTCTCATTTGTTTCAAGTAATTGCCCACTGAACATTTTTACACTGGCTGCTTTAAAAGCCTTGTCAGATAATTTCAATGTCTGTATCATCTTGGCATTTTATCTATTGATTGTATCTCTCACTCAAGTTGAGATTTTCTGGGCTCTTGGCATAAGGAGTGATTTGTCAATCTTGGACACTTTGAGTACTATGTTATGAGACTATAGATCTTACTTAAATCTTCTAGCAGGCTTCCTCCGACACTATTCCTTAACGGTTAGTGATGTTGAACATCTTTTTTATATACTTACTAGTCATTTGTATATCTTCTTTGGAGCAATGTCTATTCAGGTCCCTAGTCCATTTTTTAATTGGGTTGTTTGGTTTTGAGTTATAGTCATCTACATAATATTCTGGATATTGATCAGTCATATGGGAAAAAAAAAGATTTTTTATAATTGGTCTGCTTGAACCAGGATCTAACAAAATCACACTGTATTCACGTTTTATTGTCTAATCCGGAGAAATCAAGGCTCCTAGAAAACTAAACCAAAATTAAGAAGAGGAAGCCACTTATGTGGAGGTGGACACCGGAGGAAGGAAGGTGAAAGGGGTGTGAGGATCAGATGGGGGCGTGGTGAGCACATTTGAGTCACCAGCCAGGCCTGAGAGAACAGAGGCTTCTCCCAGGATGCACTAGTGTTACTCAGAGACCCCCACCCACCACCCAAAGACTGTCTCTCCCCACCACGAGTGGCACAAGGTAAATCCTGGGGACACCGCCAGGACCACACTGTGGCTCTGCTCCCAAGGGAACACTGGAGGAGAAGGTCCTAGCTCAGAGCTGCCCTGAACACTGGGGGCCGTCCTAGGAGTCTCTGAGGGCAAAGTAAGGCTGGGGAGCCTTCAGCATCCAGGCGCCATGGTAACCTGACTCACTGAGAGAACAGCTATGGCTGCTCATGTCTGGGCACTTGAAAAGATCACTAGAGCTATCTCTGGGATTAGGATTATGGGTGATTTTTCCCCCCTGTATATTTTCCAACTGTTCTTGAGTCAACAGTGAAAAAGTGATCTTCTACTTAGAGCAACATCTTTAGGGGTGACGTAGATATGCCACGGATGGCCATTATTGATGACAACTGAGTTTCTCCCGAAGAGCAGTGACTGTAAGGGGGAAGAGGGGTCTCAGACTCTCCTTGGAGAATCCAGAAAAGCAGCCCCTACCCACCAGCTGGGCCAGGACCCAGGAGCATGGCACATTCCAGGGAAGGCCAACCTGATGGAGGCAAGCAGTCTCCCAGCGCCTGGAGCTGAGACTGCTGGTCCTGGTTCTGCCTGCGGCCGGCCCCGTGAGGCCTGGGACCCAGGAGGAGGGGTCCAGCTTTCAGGAAACCCATGGCAAACCCACAGAAATCTACCCAAGGGGCCAGTCTCTCTTACCCAGGAGAGCCTTATCCCAGGTTACTGCTTCCAAACGCCTTCCAGACAGAAATGAAACCTGCTGTTCCCAAAATAGAAAACTCTTTATTATAAACCCAGGATACAGGAGAAATGACACAGACATTTCTCAGTTCTCTCTGAACTCCTCGAAACGCATACAAAATAGGTGTGAAATACTTCCTGGAAATCTTTACAAAATACTCCCCAGTATCAAAGTGGGGAGAGGTGCATGGGGCTAAGTGCTTCATCATGATGGTGCAGAGAGGGGCCTTCAGGCCCTCCCCAGACCCCACACCAGCCATGCTGGAGGGGGAACAAAGGCACACATCTTCTATTAGATTTAGGGTCCAGGGATCTGCTCTGAGACCTGAGACCATATTTTCTCCCCAAAAGAGAGCTTCAGATATGAACTACTGTACAAATTCCCTGGAGAGGGAGAGGAACACAGCTGTCTGCTGCTGGCTTGCTGTGTGAGGGCGTAAATCCTGGCATATTTGGTCCTGTTTAGAGGCTGGTTCCAATGAAGTGGGGAAAATGGTGTGCGTGTGTTTGCATGTGTGTATATGTATGTATGTCCATGTGCCCACAAGCTCTGGGGCAGGAGGCTCTTATGTGGCTATGGTTTGTAAACTGGTCCCACCAAGTAACTTTGTAAGGCAATCCAGGTAGAAACGCTGGTGGGCAAGCTCTCTGTGGGTGGCCCCAGGAGGAAGGCTTCTTGCTTCTCCCACATGATCCAGCCTCAGAACCCAAGCTTGATGGGTCCCATCCCGTGCCAGGCAGAGGTGGGCGTGTGACCACTGGCACCTGGGTGGGTTGACGTGAAAGCAGCCCTAACCGCTTGGAGAACTTGTCCCACCGAACGTGGCAAGAGGCTGGGAGGAATCCAAGAGGCAGACAGAGGGGAACCCACAGGGAGGGGGGGAATCAGGCTCAAAGGCGGGATCTCTGTGCTAGGCCCGTATCTACCCCGCGGGGCAGGAGGAAGTGGGGTGTGAGGTGGGCAATGAGCAGGCACCCTTGTGGAAACAACTGCCCTGGCAGTAACCAGCACGTGGCCCCAGCTGCCAGCTCTCTCCCAGCCACGATCTGGCTGCCCCAGGAGACCCGGCGCAAGGCCCCGCCATTTCCCACAGTGACTTGAACACAGCGACTGCCTGTTCTCCTCACCCTACAGAGTTACCAGGCGGAGAAACTGAGGTCTATGGCATGTGGATGGGCCAGAGATGGCGCCTCCGAGTCCCGGCAGGCACATCCCCTGGCAGCCATTGGTTCCACGCAGGACATGCAGTGTGATGTCCAGAAGTGTCCAGTGGCTGCGGATGTGCCCATGGAGTTGGCATCTCAAGGAATCCCCCTACAACCGCAGCGGGAGGCAGGGGCAGGAGTACACGTACAGGCAGACGGACACGCGGACACCCAGGGTACCAGGGCAGTCTTCAGGGCAGGGCCAGGGCTTTGGCAAGGCGAGTCCAGAACCAAGACTTGGTGCAGGGGTTGGTGTAGTCACAGACCGTGATGAATCGCAGGATGCTCGGGAACTCTCTCTTCATGGCCTTGTACTTGACGGGGATCAGTCGCTTCTGATGGGCGCCTGCATGCCAAGGGGCGCAGAGCTGGCACCGGGCCCTCATCCCACAGTGGGGGAGGGGCCGGTCTCCAGACCAGGGATTAACAACAGCTCTCCCTCAACGAAGCATCCCTGGCACACATCCACCCCCACAAAAGGCACCCAGATGTGCAGGGTTCCTCGGTGCGGCACCCACAGTCTGGGTGAAGGAAGGCTGGCATCCTGAAGCCCCACCCACCCACCCACCCACTCTGCTGTGGCGAGGGAAGGACTGCGCTTACCTGGAGAGAGGCTGAGTGCAAACTTAGTCTGGAAGTCACATTCCTTGCTCTGCAGGTAATCATCTGAGACAACCACCACCATCCGGCGGCACCTAGGGAGGAGGGGAGGCACTGAGGCAACCTGGGGGGCGGCCTTGGGAGGAGCCCACTGTGCCCAGGCTAGACAGGGCCCAGCTGGGAAAACGCCAGCCTCCGGGCCCCTGGGCGGGGCTTTGTGCACCCACCCACCCCCCCACCCCCCCACCCCCCCACTGGCACCCTGGCCACCTCACCAACCTCTTCTCGATGAGCTCACTGGCAATGGACCAGACACAGGTGCCGGGCAGGACGTCCCTGTCGGACACACACAACTTGAGCCGGTAGTTTGTCTGTTCCAGCTGCTGGATCATCTCTTGGACAAACTGGATGTCGCTGGCGCAGTAGCAGATAAAGGCATCAAACCGCTCCGGCATTTGCCCTGGGTGCAGAGAATGAGGATAACGGTCAGGGCTCAGTGGAGGGCTGGGGAGAAGGCCAGCCAGGAGCCCCCAGCCTGGGGGGCCCCGGTCCTGGACCCCACACCAACCCTGTGGCGACACGACTCCGAAAACGTGCTGTTTCCAGGAGAGGAAAGACGAGCCCAAGCCCTGGGCTCACCGTCAGACAGATACATCCTTTCATGGATACCCCCCCAGAGGCAGGACTAGTCTTATTCTTCCCATTTCGTAGGTGAAGAACCAGGCTCAGAGAGGTTAAGTTATTTGCCCAAAGTGCCAGTTCATCTGCTTTCAACGGCCACGCTCTACACACCACAATGCCCTATGGCCCACCTGCCCGCCCTGGGTCAGGGGGGACGTATGGGGACCTCACCCAAGGGGTCGTCGAGTGTGGTGATGCCCGCCAGCTCTGCTGTCCGGGGGACGCTGCTGTCCACAGCGGCCACCTGTAAGGGCTTCTCAGACTCCTCCTGCTGTTGCTTCAGAATGTACTTCTGGCAGTCCTCCTCTGCAAGGAAGAGAAGGAGTGTGGGGGCCGCCCCGGGGTGCCCGTGCCACCACCCGAATCAGGATCCACCCCGTAACCACGTCCACTGGTGTCACCCGCGGTCTGACAGCTCCGGCAAGCTGAGCTCCCGTCTGGCTCTGACCATCCCAAAGGGATGTCAATGGCGTGTCCCTCTGGGAAGCCAACAGGGTCCCGTTTGTATCTTTCTGTCCTTTTGCCCTGACACCCTTTCCCAGGGCTCCTGCGGACGGAACCCAAGGTCTGTTTCTTGTAGAACCCTCAGCTATGTGAACAGGGGGCTGGGCAACGGGAAGGGCTCAGGAGACCGCGGTTATGTGCAGGGAGGGCAGAGGCTCCAAGCAAGCAAGGGGCAACACCACCCCCCACCCCCCCCACCCCCCGCCGATGCAGGAGGAGGCGCGTTTCCTTAGGGACCTGACACGTCAAGACTGTCAGCGCTCAGGTGTGCAGCGGTCAGTCCCTCCCCTGCCCTGTGGCTCTACCTGAAGCAGCCCAGACCCCCCCCCCCCCCCCCAGAGGACCCGGATTCTGACCCCGGGTGCTACCCAAAAGCCTTCGCCTAAGCGGTTTCCCTTCGCTCTCTGCGGCCTCCACCTCCTTTCTCTGGTCTCTCTCATCCTCGGCATTGAAAGAGGGAACAGGCCCCACACAGTTCTCCCTCTGCAGGCCGCGTCCCCTCTCGATCCCCCCAGGAAAGGAGGGCCTCGCGGGGGGAGAGACTGTTTGCCGAGGCCGGCGAAGGTCAGCAGCTCCCCGACCCCCCGGGAGAGACCGGCCCCGGCGCGTCCTCACCGATGCTGGGCCCCAGCTCCAGCAGCACGTCGTCGCGGCCCAGCTTGGCGAGCAGCTCGAGCAGCCTGCCCACCGAGGCGCCGGGCCGGCCCTGCCAGTCGTCCAGCAGCTTGCCCGTGGGGTCGGCGTGCGCCTCCAGCTGCCGGATCTCCAGGTACTCGAAGCCCACCTCCTCGGCCAGCGCGCTCCAGTCGGCCGCCACCGCGGTGCGCACGTTCAGGAACAGCGACAGGCGGCGCCGCACGCGCACGTTGAGCGCGGCCAGGGGCAGCGAGGCCGCGGCGGAGGCGACGGGCGCGGGGCCCGCACCCGGGCCGGCTGCAGCCATCGCCGGCAGCCCTGCAGCTTCCGCACAGTCCCGTCGGATCTCTGGCCCGCACTTCCTCCTGCCTTTCCGGTCTGCCCCCCCCCCCCCCCCCCCCGGCTCCCGGCCCCGCCCCGCGGGCTTCCCTTTCCGAGAAGCGCCGCCCCGCTCTCCGATCTGGAGCGTCCGCAGCTGCGCGGAGGCGGAGGCGGGGCGTCCCGCCCCTGCCCTCGGGGGATCCGGGATGTCGGATGAGGAAACTGGGTGCCTGCCTTTTGAGGTCTGGGGAGGCACGGCACCCCACCGACCAGTGCCCGGGGTCCCGGTGCGGGGCGGGGGGGGGGGGGGGGGGAGGGGGAGTGGGAGGGGGATGATGGCTCATCCTCCTTTGGGGTTTGGACCAAAAGGGGGCCTCGCTCTTTGGGATCTGGTGGAGTCACAGCTTTCCAATTGGAGCTCTGAAGGGTTCGTGCGGGCCTGCCCTCGAGGCCGGTGGGAAGGAGACAAGGATTGTGTGTCCCCATCTCTTGGGAACGCACAATCCTGCCCATAGGGGTGTCGGGAGCCCTGGGCAGTCCACCCAGAGGTAGCGGTGGGAAACCCATACCGCCTTCTGGAGTCCGAGGCCCTGTCCTTGAAAAGTGGGAGACATAATCCCACCTTCCCGGGCTGGGGATTGGGGTTGGGGTAACGGGGCGCCCTGGCTTTTGGTGTGGGGGTGGGAGGTGGGGGAACCCTAGTGCAATACTACTCCCTAATTCACACTGCTGTGCCATAATTTTTAAAACATGAAATACCTGACTATTCAATAGGGGGCGCTGACCTCTTTTTCACTAGATTGTAAAACAACCAACCAATCAACCAAAGACAACAGTCAACCCAGCAAAATTATTACAAATATACCTTTTGTCAGATGGGCAAAAAAAAAAATACAATATCGTTTTGTTATGCCCCAGAATTTTAGTAATTATGTGTGTCCCGAGATGAAAAAAGTTGAAATCATTGCTCAAGGGAAACACATTACCATTGGGAGGCAAGGGCGCACCTGGCCTTGCTCTTGAGGGTTGGGGGAGACTCAGCCCTGACCTGGGGAGCTCTGGGTCTTTCGTCCACTCACCCATTCGTTCGTTCTCTAGGTATTTATGGATTTCTTACTGGGTGTCAGCATGTTGCAGGCACCGCGGATTCCTGCCTTGGTGGAGACCCCAGCCAAGTGGTTCGGTGGGCACCAATCCAATCACCCCAAATGACTGTAAAACTGGCCATTGGAATACGTGTATGGTGCTCTCTCTCCAGATAGGATCTTGTCACATCTCCGCACCATTGTGAAACCCACTCTCTGGCCGCCTCACAATCCCCAATTCCTCAGTCTTCTCCAAAGACCTCCCAGGAGAATCCCCAGCACGAGGGGGTAGGGCTTTGGGGCAGCTCAGAATTGTTTAGGTGCTGGGACTCCGGAGACAGCGGAGATGGCCGGGAACAAGGAAGTGGGATTAGATTCCGGGCCTCCATCCCGAGCAAGAGGCCCCCCCCCGCCCCCCCGCCCAGCGGCGGGCAGCGGGCTGGGTAGCCGGGGGAGGGAGCCTGGCCGCGGCGGAGTGTTTTCTCGTTACCGAAAGGGCTCCCGGAGCCCCGCCCCCGGTCTGGCCACCTGCGTTCCGGCTGTATTTCTGGGCGGGGCCACCGCAGGCGGGGCTTGAAGTGGAAAGACCCTTCTGGCGGTGGCTGTGACCTGTGATAGGTGGTTTCGTTGCGGCGTGGGCGGGTCTTAAGGCATACTCGCCTTCTGGTTGGTCACAGCGGGGTGGGCGGGGCTTTGGGAGAGGGGCGTGTTCATTCCGCAGGGCGGTGGGCAGTGGGCGGTGTTTAGGCTTAGAGGGCAAAGGTTCCGTTCTCGATTTCGCAGGCGACTGTCCTTAGGCTGCGGCCCTCGGTACCGGGCCGGGTGGAAGGGTCTGTCGGGCCGGGCTGCGCGATGCGGAGACTGCAGGTGGTGCTGGGCCACCTGAACGGCCGGCCCGACTCGGGCTCGAAGCCTGCGCTGCAGGCCGCGCCGTGCTGGGGCGGCCCTCCGCGCGCCTCGCCCGAGGACGTGGTGGTGGTACACGGGCGGCGCACGGCCATCGGCCGAGGCGGCCGCGGCGGCTTCAAGGTGAGGCCCCCGGTCCGGGCGCGGGTGTGAGATGGCGGCAAGAGGCGAACGGGGTTCCCCTCGACGCTGGACGTGGCCCTGCGCCCGGGCGGTGACAGCTCTGCCTCCCTGGGTGGGAAGGGGGGTGCCTCCCCGGGAGCGCAGGGCACGGGGTCACGGCGGCCACGCTTCCCGCTGCAGGACACCACCCCCGACGAGCTCCTCTCGGCCGTCATGACCGCGGTTCTCCAGGACCTCAAGCTGAGCCCGACCCAACTGGGAGACATCTGCGTGGGTGAGCTCGCTACCCAGGCCCGGGGCTGGGCGCTCTTCGCCCTCCCGTCCCGCCGAAGTCCTCCAACACTTCACCCCCAGGCACGGTCCTGGCGTTCTCCCAGAGAGGAAAGTCAGAAGTTTGTCTTCTTAGGGCTAGACTCCGCCCCCGTCTCTAGGCACTTGCTTGGCCCTCCAAGCACCCTCAGTGGATTAAGTGGTAGGAAGCAGGGCTGTCAAGTGACACACATTCCAACGCCAAGACTCTTGGCACAGGGGTGTGAGGACATCCTAGGAGCCAGAAAACTCTAGAATTCTCACTGATCCTGACATCCAGACCCTGCTACCACAGAATGGAGGGAGTGCCAAAAAACAGTCTAGTCTGGTTCCTCACCTACAAAACGGAGAAACTGAGGCCTGGGAATTTGCAGCAGAACTTTGGATCTGAATGGGTCCACCCTTTCCCCCCTACCTCTACTCCTCTAGCCTGAAAACATAACACCGTGTGGCAAGAGCCTTGCTAAAACGCTGTGGAGGCCGCCACCCCTAGGTTGGCAATCGCTGTGCCACCTACAGAGTGACAGCGGGTTGTGGCAGAGGACACTCGGGGAGGTGTGGGTTTTCAGAGCCCCAGTTCCTCAACTGACAGAACCAGTTTGTTTGACATCAAGCTTTGCATTGCGTTCTTTGCATTGCGTTCTTTTCTTTGCATGACACCTTTCTTTACAGGCAGGCAACCTGCCCATGGTGTGCCGATCAGGAAAGGTGGGGGGCGGGAGGGCACCGGGTGAGGGAGTTTGGGACCCTTGGGGACTGTGTCTAGTGTGTGACCAGGAGAGCTGCTATGTAGCTTGCTCCCCCCAGATCCACACCTTGAAATCTCAGAGCCTCAAGGGAGCCTGTTTCTGAAGAAAGATCTGGAATGTTCCCTCTCTGGTATTCACACGTGTACCTCCGTGCCCCAGCCACCACCAGGCACTGAACAAAGGTTTGTTGTCCACAGGAAACGTGCTTCAGCCAGGGGCCGGGGCGGTCATGGCCCGCATCGCCCAGTTTCTGAGGTGAGCTCCCAGTTCCAGCTCTGGGTTGGCCATGTTGACTCTCGAGTGGGCTCGGGCTTTGGGGAACTCGGCTGGTGGATAGGAGAGGATCCGGTTGGGCACCAGACCTGAAGGCAGCCAGGGTCCTCGGCGCCAGGATTGTGGGAGCCCTATCTTTCCTCTACTTGGAAGGGAGATGGGTTCCCTGCCTCGGGGCCAAGACAAACAGGGCCTGTGGGGCTGTAGCAGATGATCTCTGTGACCTGAATCGCAGCCAAAGCCAATGTTGGTAAGTACTGTTTGGACTCTGTCCTCCTTTGCTAGGCCAGTGACCAAGCAGGTACCCTGAAGAGTGACGCTCAGCTTCTTTGCCAGTTGAGCAGGTGGGGACCTTCAGGCGAATCCCATCGGTAGAGACTTGGGGCCACAGCAGAGCCCTAGGCGAGGGGTGGCCCAGGAGGGGCCCTGGTAAACTTGCCCTTCGCTTCTTGCTGTCCCAAGACAGAGGAGTGCTTACGTTACTTTCACTGTACATTTAAGACCCACTTAGCTAAGTATGCCATCTGCTTAGAGGAGAAATGGGGGTAACATTGGCCGGTGAAGGAACAAGAACACTGAGCAAACCTCTAGGCACTAGAAGAGGTTCTGACTGCTTAGCCTGGAGTTCAAGGGCTCCCAGGATCTGACTCCAGACTTACCTTCCAGCTTTATCTCCCAGCTGCTGACTGGCCTTGACTCCTCCTTTCAGCCAGCCTGTCTGCCTACTGATCCTTATGCTGGTCACTCTGTCCCCTGGCAGTGCTGTCCCTGCCTCCTCTCTGCCTGGCTAACTCTGTCCAGGGTCACCATTGCATGACTTCCCTGAGCTCCCAGGCTTAACACGAGGACCTCTCCAGTAGCTAGCCTCGTGCTTCCTTGTGACGTTCTTTCCCATCTTGCTCTGTTGTTTCTGTCTCTGCCAGTTGATTCATCTTCTGTGTTGGTCAGGCATCCTCAAGGGCCGTGGTCGGCAAACTGCGGCTCACGAGTCACATGCGGCTCTTTGGCCCCTTGAGTGTGGCTCTTCCACAAGATACCACGGCCTGGGCGAGTCTATTTTGAAGAAGTAGCATTAGAAGTAGTTTAAGTTTAAAAAATGTGATTCTCAAAAGAAATTTCAATTGTTGTACCGTTGATATTTGGCTCTGTTGACTAATGAGTTTGCGAACCACTGCTCATGTCAGCACCCCTCAGGTGGTGTCTTGTACTGAACAGATTCTGTTCAGTGAACACTTGGGTTGCGCGAAGCAATGGTAATTAGAGAGTTAGGGGACTTAGGAGACTGTCTGCACACCAGAATAACCAGATGCTTTGACATCCCTACAGTTTAGTCCATGGGTCTGGGAGGGTCTGGTTACATGAGGAGGGGCAGCCCCACCGGCTTCCAGGGCAGGAACCCACCAGAATAAGAAGTGTTAGAACATCTGGTATCGTCAAGATCTTTGACCAGCTGGGAGCAGGCTTTCCAGAGAGTAGGGGAACAGAAAGAGTTAGCCAAGAGGCTGAGGAGTAGAGATGGTTTCTGACCTCATACTTCCTTTTTCTCTGTTCTTTGGGAGAAGAAGATACACTATAGTTTTCATTTTTTTAATCTTCAAAAGGAAGGAAGGATCCCTGTGGCCTAACTAGCTTGGCTCTGCTCGGCCTTGATGGAAGAGGATCACAGGATGGGACGTGGGGAGCACGTGCTTGTACTGCCTTGGGAACAAGAGCCTGTAGAGATGGGGTCTGCCCACGAGGGACCTGGCCTAGAGAAGGAACAGGCTGACTGTGGCCTTACCTTCTGTTTCAGTGACATCCCAGAGACTGTGCCTTTGACCTCTGTCAACAGACAGTGTTCTTCTGGGCTCCAGGCAGTGGCCAACATCGCTGGTAAGTTGTGGCTGGGTGGGTGGCCGTTGCACAGCCTGGCCTTGGCCATGGCTCTGTGAATTTGGGTCAGCTGAGTCACTATCTACTGGGCACGCAAGGAGGATGTCTGAGAGGACTCTCATCCCAGAAAGAGGAGAGCCCTCTGCACCACCCCCAGGCTTTTCTGGACACTCCTGGGACTTCCCAGTCTGAGGCTGGAGCCCATGTAGAGACCAGGCGGGGAGAGGCCCCCCACCTCCCGTTCCCAGAGCAGGATGACTCTGTGGAAGGATGTTTATGAAATGCTTTTGTTGCAGGTGGCATCAGAAATGGGTCTTATGACATTGGCATGGCTTGTGGGTAAGAATTTCTTTCTGCCGGAGCTTATTAACCAGCTTGTAACAATAAACTAATATCCATCTCCTGTGTTCAGAGAGGCCATGATTTCAGGATTTTCTCCTTTAGGCAGCTGCCTGGGGGGAGAGTTCCTACAAATGGGGCTTAGAAGGAGCCCTCAGCTCTGGCTGCTCAGGAATCACTCGCACCTCTCGGCACTGATGGGGAAAGGAAGAGGGCTTTTCAAAGCTTTCTTCTCTCTTGGCACCTGGCAGGCTGGAAACTGGGCAAGCATGAGAAGATGAAGCTCTCAGGTTTCCTCCTCCGGCCCTTGTTCATTCACGATGCTGCTGAGGGAGAAGCTGCCGTTTTGCTTCCCTCACGCTAGAGACAGCTGCCTACTCTGTAACTGGCTTATCCACCTTCTGGCTGCCTCCTGGGTCCTGAGGGGCATGGTCAGATCTGTGAGGGTTTGGGCACTGTCTGCTGTGGCTCCATCTTTCGCTGCAGTTATGGAGCTGCAGAGGTTGTGCTGGGCAGTGTTACCGGGGAGGGACCCGTGTGGGGCCCGGGCTTGGCGGGCATCCGGTGCTGGGAGGGCAGGCCAAGCCAGGGCTCTGGCAGGCCTGGTGGGTAGGGGGTGGGGAGTGGCCCCTTTCAACCCCCCTGAGAGTGTTTCTTCACTGGAGCATTGTGGGCCTTTTTAGGGCTGTGCCCCCTGGCGCTGGGCTGTATTGCCCCGTGTCTGCAACTGAATAAAACCAAAGGTCGCAGTACAGGGACTTTGGCCCAGTCTGCCCTCGGCTCAATCTCATGTCCCTCTATCTTGCTGCAGGAGGGCGGAGTCGGGGTAACTGGGGTGAAGGCTGGAGCTTTGTGAGTTTCTTACTCACATCTGAGGCCCCCTAGCAGTTAAAGACCTTGTTACTAGGGTATTAAGGTCTGAGCCAGGACTGTCCCCCATGTCACAGGCTGGCTGTCCCTGTAGGCTTCCATCATGATGAGTATCCCAAAACATCCTGGTTAGGAGTGGGCTCTGAGGCCAGACCACCTACATTTGGGTCCCGGCTAAATGACCGTGAACAAGTTAGCCTCTCTGGGCCCATCTATACAATGGGGACAGCCACCTCCACCTTGTTGATGAGATTGAATTAATAACAGCTAATGCTCTAGTCTAAGGCATCTATGTGACTGAGTCTGTTCTGAGTGCTTAAGACTTGGACTTTACAATAGTGCTGGGCACAGAGAAGCATTCCATCAGGGTTATGTGTTATCAACCCTGAGGCCTGTGTTCCCCACCTCCTCAACGCCCTTCCACCACAAGACACCGATCTCACTTCCTAGCACTTCCTCATCCAGCCGGTCACATCTCTCTTCGGCCTGCATCTTGTAACATTTTCCTCTCTTCTCTCCTCTGAATCTGATCCTTGAGGACTGAGCCCTGGGCTTGTTGGAAGTTTTCCCCTCTGTGGCCGACGCTAGCCCGAGCCGGGGGGCAGCTAAGGAGGGAAACATCCTGCCGTGAGGGTGGACCATGCGGTGCTCTGTCCCCCAGCCCAGCTCTGGCCCATTGGCTGTGTCCTGGGGCTCCCTACTTCCCAGCTCTTGTCAGGTGCACCGGGATCCTTGGCTGAGTTCTAATGATCCCTCTTCCTCCTCTTCCTCCTCCTCCTCCTCCTCCTCAGAGTGGAGTCTATGTCCCTGGCTGACAGAGGAAACCCTGGAAATATTACTTCACGCTTGGTGGATAAGGAGAAGGCCAGGGACTGCCTGATTCCCATGGGGTGAGTGTTCCCCTGGTGCCGTGTCCTTTGCTCTCTGCCTGGCCTGCTTCAGGTCTGCTCTGCAGGGCCTCGATGCTGCCTTTCCTGCATCCCCAGGCCCTCTCTGTGCCTCTTTTTCCAAACATTGCCTAGCCCAGTGGTCGGCAAACTGTGGCTCGAGAGCCACATGTGGCTTGTGAGCCGCGGTTTGCCGCTCTGTTGACTAATGAGTTTGCCGACCACTGTCCTAGCCTGTTCCTCCCTCCCTGGGGGTTCAGTCACACGAAGGATGACGCAGCTGCACTCAATGCCTTGGAAAATTAGAAAGATGAGGAACTAGGAAGCTTTGGTGACTGGACATGCTGGTGAAGGAACTTGGGCCCAGCAGATGCAACCTGGAAGCGTGTTGTTTGCCTAGCATGTTAGCTCTGCTGCCAGCGCCAGAGCTTCGGGGCAGGGAATCCTGGCTCCACTTGAAGTTCAGAGCGGGCAGTGCCCGGGCTGCCTCTACACCCCGTGACCAGATCTCCAGGAAAAGCTCCTGAAGCCAGAAGCCCAGGCCAAGTCTCCCTGCGGCTCTGGGTTCCTAGGATGAAGGCGGGCTCCACCTCCAGCGAGCAGGAAGCTGGGGGGTGATCTCCCCAGAGGGCCGTGGAGTCCTCATCTCCCCCACTAAGGCCGTTTTCCTGAGGCGCAGGAGGAGCTGCCCAAGAGTCCCCAGGAGTGCTCCCCCATCCCCCGGCCCTCTCTGCCCTCTTCTCTTCTGGTCTCTGGTGTTCGCGCTTCTTAGGACCCGGGTGGCTCCCTGTCCATGCCCCCACACTCCCTGATCTTCATTACTGTCTCTGTGCCACGGACTGGCCTTCCTGTCCTCCCCGTGCCGAGTCCCACCGCCTGGCCCGTCCCAGGCTGCCGGACTCACCCACTGCTGCTGTCTGTCTTCTAGGATAACCTCGGAGAACGTGGCCGAGCGGTTTGGCATTTCACGGGAGAAGCAGGATGCCTTTGCACTGGCTTCCCAGCAAAAGTGAGTGTTGTGTGGGTGGAGTGTTTAAGAGCGCACCTAAGTGGTCTCAGGTGAGGCTGTCCGCAGACCAATTACAGGGCAGCGAGTGGTTTCCACGTCTGTGCCTTGCAGGAGGGAGAGGGGCCAAGAGCCAGGGCCAGGGTGCATTCATTCTTAGCACTTCCACATCCTACTATTGTCTGTTCACCCTGAGTGTCTTCTTCCTGCTGGGCCTCAGTTTCCCCATCTGCTCATTTGAGGGGCGGAGAGAGGGTTGTAATGAGGGCCAGGACTCTTCTCGAACTGCTGTGGTCTGGTGATTAGACATGGTAGCCACAGTCTCCTCTGCATAGCCTGAGTGTGGGGCCAGCATTGCTGGCAACCTGGGCATCGCTTCCTGAGGCTGGGGCTGGGATGACATCAGAACCCCAGGACTTGGGGCTCTGGGCAGGGGCAGGCTGAAGCTGGCAAGCCCCAGCTGCCCGGGGAGAGCACAGCAGAGGGAGGGAGCTTCTCTGAGGCGCTGGTTCTTAGCCACTTGGCGTCAACTAGTGTGAGAATTTGGTGAGAGCTGTAGATTTCTCCCAGGGGAATGCCCTGGGGGCTTACATTTTGCCTGTGATTGTAAATTATAAACAGGATCTTAAAATAGGGGACAGGTGAACTGAGCCATTCTGGTCAAACAGTCGGCAGAATCAAGCACAGATCTCCCTGGGGCTCCATCCTCGCTTTGGCACAGAAAGCAGAGCAGCCTCAGTCCCTCATAGCTGTCAGACTAAACGGGGTGCCCCCACCCCACTTTCTTCCCTTTGAGTTTGGGATTGGCCAAGATCTGAGGTCAGTGAGGTATAATAGTAGGAAACCCACACCGGTCCCTCGGAGCTCCCCCAAGGCAGGGGTGTCCCAGCATTGTGCAGTCTGAGCTGCGTGTCGGCCCCAGGGGGGAGGACGGGAGGCAGCAGAGGGACCCCAAGCAGGAAGGGAGTCTCACTGTCCATGGTGCTCCGCGTGGCAGGGCAGCGAGAGCCCAGAGCAAGGGCTGTTTCCAGGCTGAGATTGTGCCTGTGACCACCATGGTCCATGATGACAAGGGCACCGAGAGGAGGATCACCGTGGCCCAGGATGAGGGGATCCGACCCAACACCACGCTGGAGGGCCTGGCCAAACTGAAGCCTGCCTTCAAGCAGGGCGGCTCCACCACCGCTGGTGAGACTGGGCTGGGGCACGCCCATGCCGGACAGACTCTGGGAGCCTGGCGCCACCAGGTGGGGTGGGCGTGGGGGCCTGGGCCTCCTGGGACCTGCTCTGAGGCCTCCTTACCCCTGTGGTTTGCTTCTAGGAAACTCTAGCCAAGTGAGCGATGGGGCAGCTGCCATCCTGCTGGCCCGGAGGTCCAAGGCGGAGGAGCTGGGCCTCCCCATCCTTGGGATCCTGAGGTCCTATGCAGTGGTTGGGGTCCCACCCGACATCATGGGCGTTGGACCTGCCTACGCCATCCCTGAAGCTTTGAAAAAAGCAGGTAGGCGGCTCCTCCATGCCCTACGTCTGGATCCCACTTCTGCCTCTCAGGCTGCTGCCGGAGGGCGGTGGTCCTGTGGGTGCTGCAGAGTGAAGGTGGGACAGACTAGCACCCCTGCCAGAGCCCTTCCTGGCCACACAGCGGGAACCCACTCCTTCATCTGGAACAGACACAGACACACAGGGCAGCCTAAGACCTCGCGAGACCGAGAGTCCTGTAAGGGTCAGGGGGCGCTGGGTCAGCCTGGGTCTTTCCCCCTTGCCTGCAGGGCTGTCGGTGCACGACGTGGACATCTTTGAGATCAATGAGGCCTTTGCCAGCCAGGTGAGCCTCTGCTTCTCCATGCTGCCTGGGCCCTCGGCAGCCCGGTGGAGCCCGGGGTGCAGGGGGCGGGAGGGAGCGGGAGCTGATGTCTGCCTCCTCCCAGGCTGTCTACTGTGTGGAGAAGCTCGGATTGCCCCCCGAGAAGGTGAACCCTCTGGGGGGTGCGGTCGCCTTGGGCCACCCACTGGGCTGCACCGGGGCTCGACAAGTCATCACGCTGCTCAACGAGCTGAAGCGGCGTGGGAAGAGGTGAGGCCGACTCTCCGTGGGGGTGTCACGGGGGATCCCCATGCTGGGCACCCAAGGGGGTTAGGGGAAGGATACTTGCACACACTCCGTACTAAGGATGCAGGGCTGTGACCCCTGTTTTCCATGAGAGGCCGCTGTGGAGGGGACCCTGGCCTGCAGCAGACACCGGCCATGTGTGTGCCTAGGTGGGCAGTCGGGGAATTCCATACCCACAGCTTCCATCCTCTGTGCCCATGAAGGCCTTGGTCTAGCCAGCTCTGCCTGGTCTGGAGGGAGCTTGGTGGGGCTTCTGCCCTTTCTGCCCTCACCCACTCAACACGGCGTCCCTTCCACAGGGCATACGGGGTGGTGTCCATGTGCATCGGGACCGGAATGGGAGCCGCTGCTGTCTTTGAATACCCTGGCAACTGAGCGAGGCGCTGCCCACTTTGCTGGAGGCGAGAAAGCAACACTACGGGAGTGACGCCACGTGGGGAAATTCAGCATGGTGGCTGTGGCGGCAGCGGGCAAATCCAGGCACTTCAGCTAACTTGGACCACGTGACCACTGAGGACAGTGCAGGAGTGGGCGAGGTACTGGGTCACCCAGGCCACGAGGCCACCGTGTAATTACAGGGCAGGGGCCTTTGGATGAGGGTGCAATAGACATATAGATGTACGTCAGCTCTGACCATGCTTGTCTTGCCTTGGCGCAGTCTGAGTACTGATTCCTAACCACCAGTCTGCACGGTGAGGCGGCCTCAGAGGACGGGCATGCAGGACCTGAGCTGAGACCAGCTCCCTCCGTCCAGGGGCTGCTCGGGTCCTCCAGCGTGTGCCCTGCACAGCACACCTGTCCTGAGCTCTGGGCCATGTTTATTTGCAAAGCTGGCTGGGGGTGCGGGGGTTCTGGGGGCAGAGCCTCAGGGCTGGTAGGGTGGCACAAATCTCTCATCGTAAGAGCCTCGGCCCCGGAGCCGCAGGGTGCAGGCCTTCTCGCCGAGCATACCTTCCACCACCAGCGTGGACTCGTACAGCTCACTGCTCCTGCGGGCACGGGGCTGAGGTGAGGAGGGAGTCCAGCCTCGGGCGGTGCCGGGGGCTGGGCGGGGTGTACCTGGCGGTGAAGAGAACCTGCAGGATGATGGAGGTGGGCGGCGCGTTGACAGACCGTGCCTCCAGCAGCCCGCTGCTGGGGAAGACCTTGAAGGCCGCAGGCTCCTGGTCCGGCTCCTGGTCTGCACGGCAGGGAAGGGAGCACGGACGTGGCAGCGGCCGCACGCGCTGCCCCAGGAAGTCCGTCCCCGCGGACACCCCAGGGGGTGCCAGCCACCTTCCTGGGGGCCGGCCCAGCTCACAGGGGAGCAGTGGGTGGGAAGGGCAGCGTGGCATACCCATCAGCATGGCCCAGTAGCTCCGGCAGCCGCTCAGGTTCATCAGGTAGATCTCCCGGACCCGCTCCTGGTTCACAAAGCAGGTCCCAAAGTCCACCCAGCTGGTGGAGAGCTGCAGCTCGGGCACGGCCACCGTGGCCTGCAGGGGCACCACCTGTGGGGACAGAGCCGCTAACGTGGTGGGAACAGGTGGCTGCCACTCCTGGTGGGCTCTGAGCCAGCGTCTCAGGGACACACGAGCCCTGCTGACCCCGAGAACCGACACTTCTGAGGAGCACACAGGCAGCACGGGGAGGTGGGAGGGGCCGGCGCCGGATCTAAAGCCGGAAGCCGCTGGTGGGCTTCTGCACAGAGGAGGGCGCCATCTGCTCCCCCTGCCACCCTTGCCCTGATCAAGCTCTGTGGCTTCTGCTCCCTGGCCGGGTGCTGTCCTGCCTTCCTCACTGCTCCCACGGGGGCTCCAAGGCCCAGCCCTGTTTTCCTTGGGCCCTAGGCCTCCTCCCCCTTTCCCTTGACATCGGGCACTGCCATCCACCTCCCCCCCCCCCCCCCCCCCCCCCCGGCCTCCCCTGCCCCGGGCTCCAGTGCTCAGATCCTCTGGCCTCTCTGGATTCCACCTCTCAGGCCGGACCATTCCTTCACATTTCTCATGGGCTTCTACCTGCCTGACCCTCGAGCTCAGCGCCACACACAGCCCGTGACCTGTCACAGCCCACAGAACTGGGCCTGTGTCCTCACTGGCCTGAGCATCTGTCCCTCAGGTGCTCACTATTCCCACCCATCGGGCCATTCCCTCGGCCTGACTTTTAATGTGATTTCCTTTTCATTAAACAGTAATTAAATGGGAGGCTTCACATGCCACCTCCTACAGGAAGCCTTCCCGATTTTTCACGTTATAGCCCTCACCTGGCTCTGAGCTCCTAAGACAAGTAAGGATGAATGATCCTCATTTCTCCATGACAAAGCTTCTTCCAAGACAGGCTGGGCCCGCAGTACGGGCTTGGGCTCCTCCTATTTCTGAGGGCCCCGTCAGGCTGTCTCCCTCTGACCCCACCGGAACAGCGAGGGGCAGGCCCGGCACTCACCTGAGTGGTCTGGTTGGCATACTCCAGGCGCAGGTTCTGGGTAAACACCATCTCTCTCTCTCCACTCGCGCTCTGCCGAATGTCCACCCCGGGCAGCATCTGGTCAGCCGGCAGCTTCTGATAGCAGAGCAGCTCCAGGGAGAGCGTGAAGGACACGTCCACCTGGCAGACACAATGCAGCCGTCACCCGAGGCTGCTGAAGGCAGGCGGCAGCTTCTGTCCGGCCCTCCCTCCCACGAACCCACAGGCCCCTCAAGGCCCAGCTCAGTCATGACAGCACAGCCTGCAGGGCTCCACGGACCCGGCCCTGCCCTACAAAGAGCCAGCGGTGCGCTTCCCCACACCCGGGGACGCATGGGTCCCACAGACACTGCCTGCCCTGCTCTGGGCCCAGCACCTGTCACACCTGGATGAGGCTGTGCCTGCCCCCGGGAGCGGAGGGCCAGCGGGGAGACGGCGGCAAACCGACCTTGACGCCCTGGCGTGAGCCTAGGCAAGGCCTGTGTCTGTCTCCCGAGGACAGGGAGGGGCCTCTGACGGGTTTTTAAATGGGGTGTTCGTCAGCTTTGCCTTCCTCAGAGGCCCTGGCTGCTGCGGGAAGGTGGGCTGGGGAGCTCGAGCAGGTGAGGACTGGAGGGGCCGAGGGCCCAGCAGGATGTTCCTTGAACCCAGACATCGGAATGAACGGAGGCACGCGTTAAAGGTCCAGATTCTTTCTCCTCCCTGCAGCGGGGCCTGGGAGCTATTTCTGACAAGCCTAACGGCCACCGGTGTGTCGCCTGGCTTGGACACCACTATCCAAGCCTCCTAGACCAGTGGTGGGCAAATTCATTAGTCATCAGAGCCAAATCTCAACAGTACAACGATTGACATTTCTTCGGAGAGCCACATTTTTTAAATTTAAACTTCTTCTAACGCCACGTCTTCAAAATAGACTCACCCAGGCCGTGATATTCTGTGATAGAGCCACCCTCAAGGGGCCAAAGAGCCGCATGTGGCTCGCAAGCCACAGTTTGCCGACCATGGTGCTAGACCAAGACATGGGTGTGGGATGAAGAGAAGGGCGGCAGCAGGCTGGGTGGCTGCTCAGAGCCGGCTGGGGTGGGTGATACTCGCTGATATGCCACCGCTGAGAGGAGGGCGCTGGGGGCAGGGCTGGGGGCGGGGAGGTGGGGAATTGGTCTGGACCCGTGGTCCATGGGAGGGAATTCTGGTCAGGAGTCAGGCGGGCAGTGCAGCACGTGGCCCACACTCGTGACACCCACCCCGAAGTACACATTTTGAAAGGGGTAGCTCCTCCTGAAGCTCTGGATGTGGTTGAGATGACCCAGGAGAGTGCAGAGAGGTGAGAGGCCCAGCCCCTCCCAGGACAGGAAGAGGGAGCTCTGAAGCAGGATGGGGTGGGGAGAGAGGGCGGGGCACCCAGCCTGGCTGGCTGTCCTTGCCTGGCTGCACACACCTGGGAGCAGGGGTGCATACACACACACACACACACCCACTCAGGTGGCCTGTGACCTGTCCTCGATCCACGTGCCTCAGAAACACAAGGAGGCAGCCATTTGTGGCTCCCACCGCCTGGCAGTCCCAGGACCACCCCCTCCCAGTTCTGCAAATCCGGGGTTCTGTTGTCACAGAAGAGGGACAGTCACTTTGGACCTGGGCAGATGGCAGTCAAACTGTGACCGCGCCTGAGTGAGGGCACGCGGGAGGGGGGAGGCTGTGTGCAAAGTGGAGGTGCTGGTGGGAATGCTCGGCCTTGACCGGGGCGCTGGCAGAGGGACTGAGAGGGCCTGCTTGCCTGGGACTTGGTTGTGTTCACACTGGAGCGCCTGGTCCTTCCTACATGCGTGAGCCACCAGTGCAGAGGGCCCATGTTTGCTGGAAGAGGTGTGCCCAGTGGGAGTGCCCTCCTGGGTGTCCAGGGCATGGGCTGAGGGGTCAAACGTGTGGTTTAGATTCAAAGGTCTGTGTGTTTGTGTCTGCGTACAAACGCGTGAGGTGAGTTGTCTGCACACGTGTGTGCATGTATGAGAAAGGAAGGTGACTGATTGCCCAGAGGAGTGTGCCTGCGAGGCTGAGGACCCCAGGACCCTCCACTGACCAGCATGTTCTCCTGTGGGTGGAGCACCAGCTGCCTGTGGGCTGCAGCCCAGCCCTCCTCACACTCCTGCTCCCAGCCAGCGCCAGCAGCTCTGTGGGTGCGGCTGGCTCCATCCGGAGACACGGAGAAGGGCCTGGAGACCTGGAGCCGGAAGTAGTGTGGGATGTCCGTGGTGTTGGTCAGCTTCAGGTGATGGGTGGTTACCAGCTCACTCAGCACCTGGGTGGGCACAGAGGGCAAGGCTAGCAGGCATCTCCCCTCGCCTCAGGCCCAGGGCTCGGGGGCGGGGTGGGGCGGGGTGCTGCGCCTCAGAAGGGCCCACAGGGACCTGTGAGGGGGCAGCACACTCACCCCATCACAGGGCTGCACAGGGATGAGATCACTGGCCTGGAGCCGGAATCGCATGCCGCCGCCATAGTCCAGCTCCACGCTTAGCCTGCCAGCAACAGGCATGGCGGGGCCAGGCTGGGCCTCTGGGGCCTCCTGGCAGCCCCCCACTCTGCCTGGCCAGCCTTTACCTGGGCTCACCTGCTGGCTGCTTCTCCCTCCCTCTCCCCCTCCCACTCCCATGGTCTATCCAAAAGCAACAACAACAACCTATAGGTTTATACCCTCCTGCTCTATCCAGCTGTCTGGTCCCCACCAGGGCCGGGTAAGGGTGCTCCCGGGGGGAAGGGAGGGAGGACTCACTGTGCGGGCCTCACGAAGCCCTGCAGGTCCAGCCTCAGGGGCCCCACGGCAAAGCCCTGCAGGCGCCGCCGCCTCCCGGGAAGCTCCCTTTCCACCTACGGGCCCAGGCCTGGTCACGGGCGGTCGCTGGGCCGAGCAGGTGGCGGCCGCGGCCCCACCCCGGGCCGGGAGGGCTCACCTTGCTGTCCAAGCTCATGAAGCCCAGGGCGTAGCCAGTGCACTCCACCTTGTGCAGGACGTGGGGGCCGAGGACCATGGGCGTGAAGGAGATGGAGATGGAGCTGCTGCCCCCTGCAGGGACCACCTGGCACGGGCACCCGAGCAGCTCAGTGCTGCTCGGTGCCACTGTCTGGCCAGCGGGCACTTTTTCCAGGCGGCTCCCGGCCCAACCCCAACTCACCACCTGCTTGGGGCTGA